TTATCTAAGCAATTGAATCCATATTCTCTACAATCCTTGAAGCATTTTGAGATTTTCCCAATTTATTGAACACAGGTCCAACCCTATTTTACTCTACAGTTATCGTCACATCTAAATAAAAATAAGAATTAATAATGTTTGGGTACCCAAAGGATTGTTCTTCATCGTTCTAATGATTCAAGCCATCATCACACTCTTCACCGAAACCTAGGACTTTATCTGTTTTATCACAATAAGGATTTTGTGCTTTTGTATCTTTTACAGCCTCTTAATTAGACTACTTGTGTTTAGTTATGAAATAAAGATTACTTAGGTTAAGTATAGTAGTTTATCATTAAGAATTTGCTCCTTTTTAAAGCATTTAAAAGTCAAATTATTAGATATGCAGTAATGGTCACTTTCGACAAAACAATTTTTATCACAACTAAAATATTGATATCATTAGAATAATATACCCATCGCCTGAATTCTCGTTACGATCGTAACATTCATTTGTTTGATTGTTAAAGCAGGAATTTGAGAGTGATCTTATATCCTTTCCATTGAAATTTTGATGGAATCCAAATTGAACATGACAATTTTGATCACACCTATAAAAATTATTTTCAAAATACTAGTATTTATTGATACTTTTCAAATGAAAATTGATCTCCATCATCGCACTACTCTCCAATCTCAATTATTCCATTCTTGCAAATAGAGTTAATCTAATGGATATCGAGAGAATTTTAAGATAGATTTGCTTTTTCATCTAAGTAAGATAAAAAGTATAATGTTTACTTAGAGCATTTTCCTGAATATATCCATTTTTCACATCAATTTTTAGAGAGCTCACATCTGAGCACTCGAAGTTGTATTTAGTCTATTTCTCATTCATTTATAACTTGCATTTTATTCCTTCTTCTACTCTGCAATGTAGGTCACATCTAATAAAATTTTTATTTGAATTTGAATTTACCCATCAAAGTCTTAAGAATTTTGATCTAGGCACTAGGTACCCTAAAGAGCACAATTTTAGAAACATTAGGATTTCATTCCAGACAAGATTAAGCATGTATAACCTTCTTTAATCTTGCATTGTGAGTCACAGCTAGTAAATTAATTCAGAGTTTATACAAACATACCCTCCTGAATGAGTTGCATCGCCATCGTCACATTCCTCTTCCGAAGTCAGTTTATTATTTTTGATGCAGCCACTAAGTTCCTCTGAATTATTTTTGGCAATATCATTATTTATAAGTTACTAAAACATCATCAATAAATTCAAACCTTACTTTTCTCTCATAGCACTTGAATTTCTCAGTGTTGAAATCATATAGACAGTAGTAATTTTACTCTGTTTCACAGTTCAGATTGCATCTAAATAAAATCAATGAGCATTTCTTTTAAAGTGATAAAATATAAGTAATATTTTAGGGGGAAAAATTGTAGTTACCCGTCATCTGAAATGATATTCAAATCCATACAAAGATTGTCTTTCTTTCTGCATGACTTATGAATACCTATTAAACTTTGATCTTGATAAGTGGCAGTATATCCATTTTTTATTTTGCAAAAGTCATCACACCTAAATATAGTTTAATCAAATAGTAACTGACCCATCATCAAAATTATTGAGTTTGCCATCGCATTCTTCGCCTATTTCAATCAAGCCATTTCCACATATTATCATCGATGATCAATCATCTATTAGAGGGTAATTTCGTGTGCACCATATCTTTTATAATCCATTTATATTGCATGAAAAACCTTTTTCAACCTCACAATTGCTACTGCACCTATATATTAAAATTTTAGGCTTAAAGCTTATGATTGATATGAAATATAATTGAATATTTAATTTCTTACCCATCTCCAGATACAAAATTCTCGTCATTGCAAGTTAAAGCTGATTATCGACAGAATTGGGAGCATTATGATTATTGCCAGGGGATATTTGTGCATTAATATCCGTCAACTGTGCGGCAAAAATCATCACATCTATAGTAAATAAAGTAAGAGGCGAATATTACCCTTAATTATGAGTAGAACCCGGCTGCCAATTATCACACTCTTCTCCAGGTTCTAAAATTCCATTTAGAGTGCATTTGCTTCATCTCCAATGATTGCTATCGCTTGAGGCCAAAAAGGTAAGTGAGAGGAAAGTAAGTTCAAAAACTCTGAAATAGTTCAAAGTTTTGCTAGATTTTATCAATCCAAATATCATTGTGAGAGATTCGCTTGATTTTTTAAGTATTAAAGTGATTAATTTAGAAACTAATCTATCAATAAATTTAACAGCCCATTATCCTCTTAATATACAACTTAAATTATTAGTAAAAATCAGCTAATAAAATAAATATTTGATTGATTATTGAATATTTAGATTTTTTATTTTTAGTAATTTTCC